ATATATACGTCAGTAAAATGGCGGAGGAAATTGGCCGCTTCATGTAATAATGGGGAGACTCAGAGCAGAGGGCTGGGCTTTATTACTCCAATTACACACTCCATGGGGGGGGGGGGCAGGGCCGTAAATGGGGGGTGCAGGGGCCCGTAAATGGGGGGTGCAGGGGCCCGTAAATGGGGGGTGCAGGGGCCCGTAAATAGGGGGTGCAGGGGCCCGTAAATAGGGAGGTGCAGGGGCCCGTAAATGGGGGGTGCAGGGGCCCGTAAATGGGGGGTGCAGGGGCCCGTAAATAGGGAGGTGCAGGGGCCCGTAAATAGGGGGGTGCAGGGGCCCGTAAATAGGGGGGTGCAGGGGCCCGTAAATAGGGGGGTGCAGGGGCCCGTAAATGGGGGGGGGGGTGCTGGGTCCGTAAAGCAGAATATCCACCAGTCCAGGCGCATGAAGAGCGGTGGGTAAGGAGGAGCCTGGACCCCAAGCGACGGACGCGGTACTCATCAGGAAGATTGGGGTTTAGACCTCAAACCTCTCCTCTCTTGCAGGACGCGGGAACTGGAGCGGAAGCCCATAAGGGAACCCATAGGGAACACGAGTGGGGACCCAGAGGGGACCCAGAGGGGTCCCAGAGGGGACCCAGAGGGGACCCAGAGGGGACCCAGAGGGGACCCAGAGGGGACCCAGAGGGGACCCAGAGGGGAACCCGACTGAACATGACAACGAAAATAGTAGATGCTCGTGGAGAGAACAAATATATTATCAGCTAATTGGATAAATCAAAGCCATTATTTGGTTCTCAGTAAGGGACAACGGTGCTTACCGAGCTAGAATGTGTGAACCATCCCTTTCCACTTATACTCACTTGCGAAGTGGATAAGCTGCGGTTCTTGGGTCCCGGCTCTCAAACCTTAATCGACTCCCCCCCCCCCCCCCCTCGAGTAATTGCTCTTCCACAGAGCACCTGCCACAGGAACATTCAGCCTTTGGCGCTCTCTCCACCATGCAACCCATTCTCGCACTTTCTTATAGTCAATATCTTGCTTATGAATAAGTACACATGTGACATTAATTTATTGTGAATATTTGAGTTTACCTTGAAATGCTGAATAGAAAACCACAACCTAACCTAACCTTCATAGTATGTTATAATTATTAGATATTATAATTATAGATATTATAATTAGTACTGTACCTATACCTATATTGATATTACAGTTTTATAAAAATAATAAAACAAAACTAAAATATTTAAATAAATTGTAAAGTAACTCAGGATATTGTCAAATTTTGTATAAAATCTCTTGTTTAATAAAACGGAGAGGAAAAGTTAGTGCCTTGAAAAAATACGGCTTGGAATGTCACATATACTTATTTATAAGCGAAATAGTGACTATAAGTAATTAGTCATATATGTACTGTCTTGTGAGAGCGGGTTGCACCATGGAGGTACCTCGGGTAGAGCAGTAGAGTCCTCACAGTAACCTTAATTTCACAAATTTCCTAAAAGATTTTAAACGAAATTTCCAAACTGGTACCACAAATTATAGACCAATTCCCTCCAAGATTCCTCCACAACAACACTGGCCGCCAATACTGTGGTTGTCGCTCAGTGTGGCCACTTTAACAGCGCCTACACTCAATAACAAAGGCGCAAGTGATACAAGCACACCAACACCCGATCAGTTTATTCGCAGGTTTATTTATCGCAGGATTCGCAGGTTCGAATCCTCGTCACGGCCCTTGTGGATTTGTTCATTTAACATCTGATCACTGCTCTCAAGCGCCATACAGGGCAGAACAGTGGTGCAAGAAGCAAGACTGAGGCACAAGAGACCATCACAGAGCAGAACAGTGGTGCAAGAAGCAAGACTGAGGCACAAGAGACCATCACAGGGCAGAACAGTGGTGCAAGAAGCAAGACTGAGGCACAAGAGATCATCACAGAGCAGCACAGTGGTGCAAGAAGCAAGACTGAGGCACAAGAGACCATCACAGGGCAGAACAGTGGTGCAAGAAGCAAGACTGAGGCACAAGAGACCATCACAGAGCAGCACAGTGGTGCATGAAGCAAGACTGAGGCACAAGAGACCATCACAGAGCAGAACAGTGGTGCAAGAAGCAAGACTGAGGCACAAGAGACCATCACAGAGCAGAACAGTGGTGCAAGAAGCAAGACTGAGGCACAAGAGACCATCACAGAGCAGCACAGTGGTGCAAGAAGCAAGACTGAGGCACAAGAGACCATCACAGAGCAGCACAGTAACCTCGGCCTTCACCCAAAATCTCAAACGCTCAACCGCGAGGTAAAAAAACTTTTATAACCATATTTACTTAAAATATTTTAATTTACTAATAAACTATACTAATAACGTGCCAAATTATGCAGTAGTGATTCACATCAAACGTATTAAAAAGCAAATTAGAGTCAGAAATTGTTATTAAGGACTTCGAATATTTTAATTTTAATCAAAATTCATTCGACTGCCTAAGTGACGTAACATAACGACTTTCTAAGCAGCAGTTTCATATATTCAAAAACTTATTTTCACAATAAGACCCAGACGTTCCTCGGTGGATAAACAGTACCAAAACAGCCTTGAAACTATTTTTTTTGGGTACGGCCCCTATTCTCTAATACTCAAAAGGCCCCTTTGGGGCGGTTGCGACCCATCAGGGGATAACATTATCCAAGAGGAAAACGGTAATTCATGCAACCAACCAAATAATCCGTATGTCGCTGATAACGTAATAATCCATTGATCACTGGTAACGTAATAATCAGTTAAGGGAACGCGGGACCGCCAAAACCAGACATCACATCCCTTCCAAATGGATCAACTACATTACCCAATATAATTACATCGCCCGTTAGTCGGAAATTATGATTTCCATTAATTGAGGAAATAAATTATATATCAAACATTTCAATCAGTTAATGGTAGATGAGTATTAATCAATATTAATATATCCATGACCCGAGAACATGGCACACGGTCCTAGTGACTGAGTGCGGCCAGGCGCATGCGCAAGGCTGCGCAAGACATACGCATGCGCAAAATCCTGCTAACAATTTATTTTCTTCTAAATAACTAACCGTTATCATTATTAACGAGCTGTGTTATAAACTGTTGACATCATAATAAAGTAACAAAGTGAAATAGTGATGCAAGATGAACTAACTTTTACTTCCAAGAACAACTGGAGAAATAACTGGAGACAGCCTATGTAAAACCCACCACTTTATGATCTCAAACTGTCACAGATCACTAGAGAAATAATGAACAGCAAAATGAACACATTAGCTTTAGACGATTTAATATAGCAAATGTAAAGGCGTGAGAACAACCCTTGGCTGTTGTAACAAGCGTGAGATCGCTCTATGAGTTCAAACTTAGCTAGGCTTTTAAGCACAGTTAGGCTTTCAAGCGCCGCTAGGCTTGACACAACTACAGTATAAGTAAGTCTGGGCGGATATCAAGGACTGTCGGCGCCTCGTCTGGACCCAGTAGGCCTTCTGCGGTGATCTTTAATATTATGTGCTCAAGTCCAAGTACGTTTATTGAGACAATAAAATACCTCTTAAAAGGATAGAGTAGCTTAAGCTATTTCTAACCTTTCTATATTATTATGTTCTTTTGCTGAGCGGCGTCGTGTTCCCTACAACACTGGCTCCACACCTGCCAGTCAATTATTGATCACACACATCATTTGCATATCAACTATCTTCATCTATCACACCATAATTTATTATTGTTGTTGTCAAGAAGTTTAAACACGAGATACGAAGTCAGTCTAACAAAATTAGTCATGGTTAATTCTCTAACTTATATTCCACCCTTCCCCCCTTTATTGGCAGGGATATTCCTGCGCGGGTCCTAAGCCTCTGGCTGGCCCACTAAGTGTTGCTTGTCTCTGTTTTACTTGGGCGGAGTATGAGTATTTATGACTCGTTTGGTCGCTTCAGTAAGATTTTGTCACACGTGTTTAACAACTTCTGCTCTGTTGAATCTAAGTTGAAATCTTATTGGTTTTGTAACTGTGCAACCCGTTCTCGCAAATTTAATAAGTCAATATTGACTTATTAGTTGCGTGCATAGGTGACATACTAAACATAAGTTTCCCTTGAAAAGCTTCATAGAAAACACCGACCTTACCTAACCTACTTAGTATGTTAAGATAAGCATCTTATTGCTTCGTACTTACAATTATTACCTAACCTATACCTATAATAGGTTAAGTAACAATTTTAATTACGAAGCTATAAGATGCTTATTTTAACATACTAAGTAGGTTAGGTAAGGTCGGTGTTTTCTATGAAGCTTTTCAAGGGAAACTATTATGTTTAGTATGTCACCTATGCACGCAACTAATAAGTCAATATTGACTTATTAAATTTGCGAGAACGGGTTGAACTGTGCACTGTTAGATAATGTTCCAGTGGTGTGTCGGGCATTTCTCCACAGTTCTGACATTTCCTCTCATCTTCTGGAACCTGTGACTCCTGTTATCAAGCCGAGAGCTTTCCCTTCCCATAGCTCATGATAAGCCTTACCCACTACTTTTCCTGGAACACGACCCGCCAATCGTTCAACAACCAGGTACCCAATTATTACTGAGTGAACAGAGGCACACAGTTAAGGATTGGGGCCTAGTCAATCCATCCTGGCCAGGATACGAACCAAGGCCAAATCGCTTGCGAAGCACGGGGCGAGTGTGTTACCAACTACGCCACTGGGGACTGTTCAACAGACGACCGCCGGACCCACCCCTGATGCATGTAAACTTTCCATAGAACATTTCTCCCAACAAGTCCCTCTGGTGACGTGGCAACATGGCTTCAGCAATAGAACATCGGTAATAGTGAATAAACAAAGACACACAATACAATAAAATATCCGAAATTAAATTTGTTTGCCATTTGTAATAATCTAACAATAATGAAGGCGCTCAATAACCCTACCTACGGGTTCCAGGCCAAGTGCACAGTTTGTTGACACACGTCTTACCGTGAAAGATGGCGCCTTCCTCAAGCAGCGACTGCCACATGCCAGCCGCCTGCGACCTGGAGTGGACGGTGGAGGAGAGGGAGAGGAGCCACTCCGTCAGTTCGGTGCCCACGCCGCACCTGGGCTGGACGACGCCGCGGTGTCGTCGGTCGCGCAGGAGGTGCGGAGCTCGCGCCAGCAGCAAGGTCCTCAGCACCCACGACGCCTCGCACACCTTCACGCTGGGGGCCTGCCGGAGGAGCAGCACAGCGTCAGGAGGAAAGTTTGTGACAGGCGAACCTTCGAGCAGGTAGTGAAGTGTTGCCATGGACGCTGGTGTTGCATAGTTTGTGTAAATGATTATAACTGATGTGCGAGAAGGCGTCGATGAAAGCTAGAGGCACAAATGATTAATAAAGAAATATTGTTTCATCATGCATTCATCATAATTGAGGGGCTGGTCCCAAACCTGCACACAGAAATAACATCACATGAGATCAGAAGACATGGCAGGATGTGCAGAATACCCCCGTTGAAAAGCAGAGGTGCAACAGGTACTCTGAGAGAGAACTCTATCAACATCAGAGGCCCGAGACTGTTCAACACGCTTCCACTACACATAAGGGGCATAACTGGCCGACCCCTCACAGTGTTCAAGAGAGAACTGGATAAGCACCTCCAAAGGATAACTGATCAACCAGGCTGTGACTCATACGTCAGGCTGCGAGCAGCCGCGTCTAACAGCCTGGTTGATCAGTCCAGCAACCAGGAGGCTGTTACGTACCCTTATAAGATACTAAGTGAATATATTAATATGTACATTTATAATTGTATGTAAATTACAAGCATGTATATTGTTATACTTATATGTTCTATGCAAATGCACATTCATGTTACAGTGTTGGCGTTAGGCCCAGCGTATCGTGGGAATGATTGTTTATTTCTTTGTGTGATCAGTTTTCCCACGGGAACTAATGATTTATATGTGATCATAAGTGGGTAACAGAGTGAAATAATAATTGAGTGAACTGTATCTGGCAAATTGTCGTGGGATCGTCCGTTGCTGGGGTGTGCATGCCATTATTTCCTTCTGTATGCATATTTTAATTACTATGTAAAGAATAATTACTTTTGTTTGTCTATATCAATATGTACTAATTATTCATTAAGTTAGTTTAAGATTACTCTTGTCACAATGTAGTGCTCCATTGTTGAAATATTAAATATTGTAACTTTGGCAATTTATTCGCGGGGCGAGGCAATCTCTTTTGATTCTCGCGTGATTTTGTTCAGTAGCTGGACGGGAGCCAGGGAGATAACACTTGTTGGAGTTAAGTTCTTTTGTTCTATCATAGCCATATATTAATCTTGATTTAATGTCTGGAAGTTACAGTGATATTTTTAATGTGATATATTGTGACCATATAATCATCTGTTTGCCTTGAGATTTATTTAATATAAATTATATATATATATGCTTAGTCTTTATTCTTCAGTCCTATGAAGATTCTATTTTTGTGCTCATTACCTAGTAAGGGGTTATACTGGTGATTCGCTATTGAGAACAGCAGTTGTGTCGTATCCCTAGACTTATTAAAGTTTGGCTGCTGTAGGATCACGAGCCGTAACGTACGATAGGTAACAGAGGCCTGGTCGACGACCGGGCCGAAGGGACACTAAGCCCCGGAAGCACCTCAAGGTAAGGTGTGCTACTACCCGGGTGGTACAAGCAAGATGGAAGCGGCACCTAACCCCCCATACTGCACAGTTTCAAAAGCTGGTACAAGAAGCCAGGAAGTCTGGCGTCATAAGCGTGGTCGTGTGAGCACCACCAGGCGAGTACACACCGAATCCCTCAAAAAGCGAATTCTTTAAATCAAGACAAAATATGCACTTATATGCAAACTGCGGTGACTTACTACACGGTGCGCGCGGCCACTCTTAAACCTGAAGGCTTCGCAAGATTGTGTTCTCACCCTCGCAGGATTCTTGAGGAGCGGATCACCACCTTCAAACGACACATTCAATCATCAGTCTTTTTCAAGGGCAGGTTGTGGAGCTTTTTCTTCACCGAGTGGTTTTGTTTAATTTTCTTTAGGTTGTTCATCTTGAGGCAGCAACATTTTTAACATTCTAACACCAACATTAACACAAGACATACAAGTAACCCATTGCATCTTTCTTCTTGAGAATAGGCGCAGTTTGCATGAAGGGGTAACCCTCCCGATGACTGCACCAGGACAGATGTAAGGAGACGCGTTGACGGTCAGGAGGAGAAGAAAGTCAAAAGCGGTAGATGTGATGGGCCGTAGAGAGAGGAGTGGCGACGAAAACAGAGGCGAACGTTAGAGGGAGACTCCCCGCACCGGGGGGCGGGGCGTCGTGATCACGGTGGCAGCTGATCCATGCACGGCTTAGCAGCGTGCGCAAGACGGGAACTAATACTTCTCCGGAAACTTGTGTATCGGAAAGCGCAAGCAGTACGCTTCCCATATCACCCGCAGGTCAGCGGGCAGCCGGCCACCAGGCGGCGCCCTCGGCTGAGACATCCTATCCGGCACCCTATACACAAACTCCTTCACCCGCGACACCCAGACAGTGGACGAGCACCACGGGATCGGAAGCACCCGGGCATCCCGATAAGGGCCCAACTCCGGACCCTCACAGGGCACGACCCCAGCAGACGGGACTAGGCAATCCCCAGACTGGAGCAAGGAAGGAGGGGATACAGCAGGGGACGCAGGCGCGGCACCGACCCCACCACCGGGCACAGGAGCCGAGGCCCTCTGGCGCACATCTTTCCGCAACATCACGACGAGGTCCCGATCAGCAGGGACAACCCCCCCACTGCGGAGATCCAACAGCAGGAGACGCAGGAGGAGAGGCACAGGTAGCAACGTCGGAGCCCCTCACAGCACCACCATTCTCGGCGGGGGGCGCCAGATTACCATACTCCCCCACCTCCTCCCAAGGCACACCACGAAGGGGAGACACACTCCGAGCCCGCCGTGAACGCTTCGAGACAGGCCTCACCACACCACGCCCAGCAGGCCCCGCCGCAGGCACGGCCACCATCTTTACATCCACACAGGCCACACCCGCACCGTCCGAAGAGTCCACAGAGGCCACATCACCCACACTGTCCACATCATCCAGGGAAACAGCCTCAGAACACCGACGCGCACGCTTCTGCAAAGGGACGGAAAGAGCAGAACTACACTCACCAACACACACAGACACGGCAGGCACCTCCCCCTGCCGAAGCACCCCCTCTAAAACAGCAGAACCCGCGTCCCCGGGAGCCGGTATCACATCCACAGGCGGGGGCGGGACATGGACCTCCACCGAGACATCCTTCACTACACGCAGCTCAGGCGACGGCCCGACACCCACACACACCGGCTCAACAACCCCAGGGGCCATAGCAGTCACCTGACGTGTCGCCGTAGAGCTCGCCCCAACAGGCGGAGCAGCAGACAGGCAATCAGGCGCCTCAGGCACAGCACCTACTCCATCCTCAGAACCGTCCGAACGTAACAAGGGCGGGAAATCCTCTGCACGAAAAACATGCACCCTACCAGTTGCACCCACGTCGCACGCCGCAGCCAGGTGACCCTCGTGACCACACCGATAACAGGTGCGCGGTTGACCCCGGTACAAGCAGCGGAGCGTGTAACCCAACACGGACATCGACGACGGTACACTACACTTCAGCGACATCGTCAGGGTGCGGGAGCCGTCAAGCATACCAACACAGTGCCCGGCAACGACCTTGTTCCAACGAACACTTAACACGGTCCCAAATCGCTCAAAACAGGAGGTTAAAAAGTCGTCCTGAAATTCGAAGGGGGCACCATGCACCGCCACAGACGTCAAGGTGACACTAAGATTCACCACCTTAACTGAGCCAGCTGAATCAGGGAGTGGGTAAACACGCCCCTCACAACGCTCGAGAAACACCTGAAAGGCGGCCTGGAGGCGGAACTTGACCACAGCACGGTTGCCCTGAAGCAGCTGGACGCCCACCAGGTCCGACAGCTGCACATGAAGCACGTCCACCAGGGCGACACCAACCAATGGATGGTCCACCGGCACCGTAAACGCTAGACCAGCCGACAATGTCCTCTGCACTGGAGGGCGAGATGACCCCATGGCGAAGGCAAACGTCACCCTGTCAGTGGCAAACCACCACCAGCAGGGCAAACAAGCAATCACCCAACGTAAACACTAGCCAGTGCGGAGAGACCTCAGGAGCGTCCGACCTGGCCGGTGGTCACCACGCAACTCCCATTGCATCTTTACTGCTCATTATAATCAGTTAATATTAAATAACGTAAATAAGAAAAACTAATACATCGTGGATACCTTTTTAAAAGCATCAAAACCTTTATTGCTCACAAGTTTAACGTATCTAATTCATAGCTAATCGTCTGAATCCACACAGGCAGTAAGTGTACCGTTGGCTGTAAATATAAATCCAGTAATAGGTTTTGATGGGAGAACTGTCGAATTTCCATCCAAGGAAGTCATCCGCACGCAACCGTTCAGTTGGCCGCGTGATGCGTGTTGGAGAGTATTGCGCGCAGCTCTCATCTCCGTATTTGAGGAAGGATATTCACAAATTGTGAAGTGTTGAGCACCGAGCGACGCAGATGACACCCGGACTAAGGACCAAATCTCATGCAACTCCTTTTCAAATCGCTGTATTTACCCAGCCTTGTATGGCGAGGAATACAGCTTGACCAAATATTAAAAATTGCCAGAGTAGCATGACAAACATTATTCAGGGAAATTTGCTTAAATATTGCCACAGTTAAACATATTGGCCAACAACAGTTTGAAAATTATAGACAAACTATTTAAATCTAAGGAATGGCAATATTTGGTATTATTAATGCAAACAGTCACAATAACGGGGCTGATCACTAAACACCCAACACACACTTTTCGAAATAAAAGAAATGACGTATCGGTCCGTCCTCGACGTTTATCAAGTGGTGTAATGTATTAATTATTTAATCGTGAGGTATAGAAATGGAACAATTGGTGAGATATATTCTATTTCTCTTTATATCAGCGCTTACTTTTCCCCATCATAAATGAGCCTTCCATAAAGTGTTGTTAAGCTCCAATGGTCTCCAGCCTTATACGGCTACAACTATAGCTGGCTATTATATCTTGTCTAAATGAAAAACTTAGACAACTGCAGTGCAATGTTATGATTTGTGCATTGTGATTTGAATCTAAGAA